GGCAGAAGAAAGCAAAAACATGGTATGACGGGGAATGTCGGAACAGCTGGAAAACAGACAAACAGTAAGGAAGACTTGGATACAACCACAAACAGACCAAAGTAAAAAGGAATATGACGACTGCCGAAAAGAAACAAAAAAAAATACGCACAAAGAAACGAAACTATGAACAACAAAAATATGAAACTATGGAGAGAGACCGGCCCAAACCAGTCTCCAGAGAATTCTATAAAGCAATTGCCTCTGAGAAAAGAGGACATAGAACCAATTCCATCCATACACTGAGAGACAATCAAGGCCGTATGATAATCGACGGTAAAGAAGTAACTGAAGAATGAAAAGAGTATTTTAGGGACCTTCTGAACATCATATAGGAAGAACAACACAAAGAAGAGATCTATATCACAGCGGACATACCCGTCAAAACCCAAACCCGTGAAGAAACCCAAAAGGCCTTAAATAAGCTGAAAGATCACAAAGCGCTGGGTACGGACGAGATACCAGCAGAACTTCTAAAATATGGGGCACTACATCGCCAAATCCACCAGCTAATAATGCACATATGGTTAGAAGAAAGGATATAAGCATGATGGAAGGAAAACATAACAGTGCCAATCCACAAAAAAAGAGACTTTTAATAGTGAGCTGCCCACATGCCTAAAGAGAAAGATATTTGAACAGTGCATCCTCATAGTCTTGACGTACGGAGCAGAAACACTTACCTTATCAAAAGCCGCAGCTACCAAACTGAGAGTCACGCAGAGAAGAATGGAGCGGTCCATGTTAGGAATAACTCTGCGAGACAGAATAACCAACGAAGACATCAGGAGAAGAACCGGAGTGACTGACATCATCGAGAAGATAGCTATACTAAAATGAAGATGGGCACGACACATAGCCAGAATGACAGATGGGAGATGGACAAAGAGGTTATTGGAATGGAGGCCAAGGGAAGACAAGAGAAGCGTCGGTCAACCACCTACAAGATGGACTGACAATTTGAGAAGACTCAATAAAAACTGGATAAGAGCGGCGCAAGATAGACGGGGTTGGAAACATGAGGAAGATACCTATGTTCAGCAGTGGACTCTTGAGGCTGGATGAGATAATAGAGTAATTTCACTCCTAAATACCGCATATAAAACCCTCTCAAACATCATTCTTAGTAGACTAATCCCTTATGCTGAAAAGTCCTAGGCGTATATCAAGCCGGTTTTAGAGCAAACAGATCAACAATAGATGGGAGTATATTAGATCCATACACAATATTTTCATAGACTTTCGACAGGCATATGATAGCGTAGAAAGAAGCCAAGTATGGAATGCCATGACGGAGTTCTTAATACCAAAGAAACTCATTCGGATGACCAAAGTCTGTATGGAGGGTGGAATATCTAAAGTACGTGTAAATAATAAACTGTCTGGCAGCTTTGACATCAACAGTGGACTCAAACAGGGTGATGCGGTATTTCCACTACTTTTTAACCTTGTATTAGAGAAAGCCATGAGGGTGGCCGACATAAAAACAGAATTGTTATTGGTTCAAGGTCCCAAGCTGTTACTCGCATATGCAGATGATATAGATCTCGTTGGAGACTCAACCCTATCCACAAAAGACATCTTCAACAAGGTGGAAGGAGCAACAAGTAAAGTAGGGCTGAAGATTAATGAAGAGAAGACGAAATATATGTGTATAAATAGAATGACACGAAGAGACAGAATAGGACAAAAGGTGACGGTCAACACCTTCAATTTCGAAAGAGTACAACGTTTTAAGTATCTGGGGGCCATAATTACAGCTGACAACGATGTTTTTTTTTAACCTATTCTCTATCCTTAAATTTTTGGATATAGGTCTCCCCCAGTTCTCTCCATCTTTCCCTATCTTGAGCTGTTCTCTGCCATGTGGGACCTCCTTGTTTCCTGATGTCATCTTTCTACCTCATCTGTGGTCTGCCTCTTGATCTCTTTGCATTGTATGGACGCTACTTTCCGATGGCATTGTTCCATCGTCCGTTTTAGAGACGTTCATTGTATCCAGTCCATTTCCATTTCAGTTTTGCTGCTTGTTCTATCACATCTACTGTCTTTGTTCTGCTCCGGATCCACTGGATACGTTTTCTATCTTTAAGTGATATACCCAACATTTGTCTCTCCATCGCTCTTTGTGCCTTCTTTATCCTATCCAAATTGGCCTGTGTAAATGCCCATGTCTGTGCTCCGTAGGTGAGCACCGGTATTATACAGGAGTTATATACCTTGCTTCGTAAGTATAGAGGGATTGTTTGATTTCTTAGAACGTAAGAAAGTTTGCCGAACGCTGCCCATCCCATTCTTACTTGTCTCGATATTTCGGCTGTTTGATTTTCTCTGTTAGCTCTGATTGCTTGTCCTAGATAGATATACTCATTTACCTGTTCTATTTTTTCTGTTTGTGTTTTTATTGCCTCTTGGTCTTCCGTGTTTGTCATTACTTCTGTTTTATTTAAGTTAATGTTTTAGGCCTTTTTGCAGTGATTTTTCATGAAGTTCATTCAGCATTAATTCCAGTTATTGTCGTTCCGAGGAGATCAGGAGTATATCATCCGCATATCTAAGGTGATTTAGGTACTTTCCGTTAATACATATTCCTCTGTTTTCCCAATCTGTTGATTTTATCATATCTTCGAGGGTCAAGGTAAACAGTTTAGGTGAAATTATATCGCCTTGTCGGACTCCTCGTTTAACTTTTATATTATCCGTTATTAATTTGTCATCCAGAATTACTGTCATGGTTGCGTTTTGGTAAATATTATGTATCAATTGTCAGTATCTTGAATCTATGCTACTATTGACCAGAGCTTCTTCAACCGGTCAGTGTTCAATGCTGCCGTAAGCCTTTTCATAATCTACGAATCCTAAGTACAGCGGAAGCTTGTATTCATTGGTTTTCTCAATTAAGATTTTAAGCGCATGTAGATGGTCCATTGTGCTGTATCCTTTCCTGAATCCGGCCTGTTCCACTGGTTGGTAGTTATCAAGTTTATAGGTTAGTCGGTTGTGTATTATTCTTGTGAAGGTTTTATATAGTTGTGACAAAAGGAAAATAGGACGGTAGTTGTTTAGGTCTGTTCGGTCTCCTTTCTTATGTATTAAGATTGTGTTGGCATTTCTCCATTGTTTAGGTATTTTACCTTCAAACAGACATTTGTTGAACAGTATTTTTAGCATTTTTTTTATCGTGTTTCCTCCTTCTTTTAGCAGTTCCGCCAGTATTTTGTCCTCACTGGCCGCTTTATTTCTTTTCATGTCGTTTATGGATTTTTCGATTTAATTTTCATCTGTTTTGACAACGATGTTACTGAAGAAATAATAGGCAGAATCTAATCAGCAAATCGCTATCTATTCGCACTGGATAAGCTCATAAAATCAAAAAATCTTACAAGAAGTTCAAAGATCAAAATCTATAAATTCATCGGTAGACCTGTAATAACATACAGATGCGAAACCTGGACCATGACCAAAGCAAACGAAGAAAAGCTCAGACGCTTTGAACGAAAAATACTTAGAAAAATTCACAGGCAAAAGACCACTCGGGCGTCCCAGAATTCGATGGAGAGATAACATCCAAGCAGATCTCCGGAAAATGAACATTCCATTTGACGCTAGGTTGATGGAAGACCGAACAAACTGGAAAAAAGTTGTAGTCATCTAAGACCCACCCAGGGTTGTAGCGCTACGTGATGATGATGATGTAACAGTTATTACTGAAACGAAAAAGAAAGGCAGTGGAAGTGAACTGAAAGGTGAGTATCTATACAGTGGTGTAAAAAAGGATCAGAGAGCAAAGGCGGGCGTTTTTATACTCATTAAAGTCCAATCTGTAAAAACAAAATTAATGATTTTGAACATTAATTAGTAAATTATTGAAACCAGCACAGCTTTATTAAGGGCAATGTCTGAAGTAACCTCGAAGTCCGTGTAACTCCAAATAATTGGTACTCTATAGGGAGCACTGTAGCTTAATTAGTTTTTTAAACAAAAATCGCCTCTGCTTTAAAACAATAAATAAGGGATTAAAAAACTTTTTGAGCGATTATCTTGATTCCTACATACAATTAAGATATTCCTATTAAGATATTAGTTTTGATTTGTTCAGTTTTAATAAACTCTTTAACTGTAAGTTTATAAACTCTTTCATGTAATGGCATTAAATACAAGTTGTTAGTTGTAAACTGTATATAATTTGTTCATAAACCTTACCTGCTATACGAGACAATACCCTTACATTGAGTCTGGCTTGGATTAATAATGAAACACTGAGATTACAGAGTATTTAATTTCAGACACATCAACACAACAACATAACACAAAAGTTCACCGAATTGTTTATATAATATATAAAAAACAAAACAAATAGTCACTATATTTTTGAAATAAAAAATAAAACAGAAAATTCAAAAAGCCATCCGATTTTTTATAATAACGCACCTCATTATGATACTACCTTTGGCCTCTATTGGAGATAGTCGGAACTAGAATTTTTTCTTTTATAATTACTGCAGTTTGCTGTATTAAATCCTATTATTAAGAATGAAATTAAAACAAAATATTCATTATATCAACAAATATGACGCTCTATATTCTTTGATCATACTATTCGGTATTAATAAATATTTGTAATCAATAACGTAGAATTTTAATATTATAAAATTGAATAAGATATAATTTGAACGCGCCATCTACTATATTTGCGAATTGTTAACGTCAACTGTCACTAAAAGTCAAAATAGAAAATAGTATAACCTGTTCATTCCTATTATCAATGATCATTTTAGAGAATTTTTAACTCAATTTACTATTTATTATTATTGTTAAATAATGTCTTAAGCTATAGTTGGTTTTGTCTTTTGACAATAAGTGAGATTATATTGGTCCTGTTGTTAGTAAATCAATAATATAACTGTAAACCATATGGAATGTGTTATAACAGTGAATAATTAACAGTTATTTGAAGAAAAATGTTTTCCGCGATAAAAAGGCTTACTAGTAAGGGTGAAAACTCCGCCAACAATGTGCCAACATCTCGACCCTCCAGCCATCAGGCTATGTCATCATCTTTACAGAAAAAATTTGCAAGGGGTGTACAATACAACAGTAGGTATTTGCAGTTAAACATTTGTTTTAGCCAAAGTTTCCATTGTTTATTTAGTTATGTATTTAGCTTTCACTTACATAATACTAATGAGAACTGCTTCTAGTCACGTAATTCCAATGATATATGAACAAATAAGAAAAATAAGTACAAACTTATTGTGGATATTATAGTCAGTTACACAGGAGTTACTTATATTCCTCTATAAATAGCATATTTATAAATTAATTAGCAAAAAAATAGATTATATGATAGTTATTATAGATATAGTATTTACCATATCTATAATGTTATTATTTATATATTATTTTGTTTTGGCCTAACTCCTCAAGTGAAATATTTTAATAGTTGTATTTTTCCATTAAGTAAATATTTTTATTATAGTGGAATACCAGTTTTATCTTCTTTAAATAAACAATAGTCAGATTAATTGTTTATGCAAGTAGATAAACAAAAAGTTATAATGCTGTTTTGTACCAATACAATTTACAGGTTTTTTGTGTATAACTTTGAAAAAACTACTTTAAAAATCAATTATGTGGGTCTGAATGAATGAGGACAGTAATGTAGGGTGATACAATAATTTAGTATATATATTTTGAATTTATTGAGAGCAGCTATCAACAAACTTATGTGGATCAACTTGATTGTCAATATCCACAGAGGATAGGCACCAACAACAAGAAGAACAAAATGCTATAGAAAGTAGACTAATATTTTTGTTTGATTGGCCTGTGATTTTTCCATAATTGAGGCAGTCAACATGAAAAGGGCACATAGGACAAAAGTGGGTTTTGAGAAAAACCACTTTGAAATTTTAACTTGTTGCTATAGATACTAATTTGTTGTTTAAAAATTGAGAATCTTACTAGGCATTAAAACTATTTATCTAGAAAGCCATTTTCTAAGTATGATATTGATAAAAATAAAGCTTATGTTTAAAAATAAAGAAATACAAAAAAAAAAGCTGTTGTGTGCCCTTTTTAGATAGAACAGGGCATTTTTGATTGAAATTAATTTGCATGTGAACAAAAAGAAGCATTATAGAATTATATACTTTTTTTAATACATTACATGGACGTAGTTAAGCAGAAAACGTCCAACCCAAAAAAAGTGATTGTTGGGAAATTGAGTTTAAAAGATTTTAGTGTGCCCTAGCTAAACTATGCATAATTTATTCGCCTGGCAATGATTTTAAGATAATGATATTCATCTCGTAGGCACCTCGTTTGTAATTTCTTTTAAATGTAAGTTTCAATGAAGTTATTTTGAAAATTTTAGGTTGGACGTTTTTAACAAAAAACAAAAATCCGAAAAAAATTTCGATAAAACATACTTATGTGGGTTGGAATCTTTCAGATAAATAAATAATGTCATATTTTTATAAAAATTTTAATGATCCAAAGAAACAAAATTACAATGATTTTCTTATGTAAATGTAAATTTAAAAAAAGTTTTAATTATTGTGGGTATCTACCTCAAAATCTAGAACTGGAACATTAAATCCATCAACGTCTTCGACTACATTAGCACTTGTAAAATTTTCATAAAACGGTTTAGCGTCTGAAGGAATTAGATGTAAATAGCTTTTAATATCGTTAATTTTATCCTCTGACAGGGGTTTACCATTGGGCCAGAGTTGCATAAGCAGCGCCGAAAAGCTCTCTGTATTTAATCGTCCTCGTCGCTCAATATCCAAACATACACTTTCATCGCCAAAATAACTAGGTTTCATAAAGATGTGGTAAGGATTTTCTTTTGTTAATATAATTTGTTTTGTCTCCAACCAATTTATTTTTTCTTTATTGGTGCCAACTTTTCTGTTTATTGTGGCCTTCTCGAGCTGGTGGGTACTCAAAAACCATTCCTTTTTCATTTGTGCAGCTGTTATTGGAGACTTTTTACGACATGAATTTATTATATTTATATAGTCTAAAGGTGTATATATTCGTTCTTGACGTTTGAGTTGACATTCTATATCCCCAAAATCTTTATCATTTGGTAGAAAACTATGGCCGGAAATCAGGAATTTAAATGTTATAGTTTTTATATTATGGCTGGTTTGAAGAAGACTGGCCATGAGGAGTGTTATTTTAATATTACGGTTCTGGCCTCCACAAGAATCAGACCACAATATAAGATGTTCAACAGTACTTTCTATGTTTTCTAAATATTTTACAATACAGGAACCAACCTCCTGAGCTCCTCTTCCAGCAGTTCCTTCAAGCCATACATAGGAATAACTCTTATTACGTTTGCCTGAAAATACACCGAGATTATACAAGCAAACTTGCCTCTTATAATATATTACATTGGTTGGAATTTTGGGTAAAGGTAGAGTTTTTTGAAGATCGTATGTTAAACACTCTACATTATCCTCATCTTTAGCTCGTTTTAAATCTGCCTTTAATGTTTCTCGTGATTTTTGGGCCAAATCCTGATGAGTGTCGAGTTCAATTTGTAAAAGTTGCTTTTTATGATCATCCGTTTCATTTTGTAGTTTTATTTTAAATGAATCACATACCTGGCATGTGTCCTTCTTGGGAACATTAAATCTCAAATTAAATTTTTCGTAAAAAATCCTCTTATAAATACCAAATTTCACAGGGTTTTGAACTTCAGATTTGTATAGATCATAAATCTTTAATAATGAGAGATGTGCCGGTAAAAATAATGCAGACGTGTTTTCACGACAGTAGTGCGATATGTACTTAGGCAGTTTATTGATCTGGTTGATTATTTCCTGAATTTTATTTTCAGGGACTTTGTTTAAACCACCTTGTTTTCTACCTCTTTGATCAAGAATTGGAGCACGATTGTTTACCTTTCTCAGAGCTGTTGTTACTCTTGACGGAGTTATTCTAAGACTATTGATAAACATTTGCCTATAAGTAAGGAATATTGTCTGGAATACAGACGTCTTTCAGTGTTTCTTCCATACATTCTTTTTTTCGGCATTTCGTGGATATTATTGGCAATAAAGATAGTTTGGGCATTATAAGACCCAAGACTCCAAAAACGATCAAATTCTTGTTTTCGTGACTCTGTAGAAATCAACTCAGAACATTTCATCGGGCAGTTACAATTGTAGTCATATTGAAATTCTTTAGCAGCTTTCAATTTTCCTTTGTAGTCAATGTAAGATTCATTTTTGTTCCTATTAATCTTTGATGTTGCTCGCGTCATTGCAAATTTCTTTTTTCTACCCTTCTTTGGACGACCTGATGTACTGGCTAAAAATGGATTATCATCACAACTTTCATTGTTATCGGAACTCTCTTCATGTGACGATGGTATAAACATATCAGAGGAACCGCTACTAAAGACATCACTTATTGACATATTCTGTAAGAATAAAAAGGTAGGTATTATTAGATAATATTTTAAATAAAAATTTCAAAAAATTATAGAAAGCGTCTATTTTAATTAAAGAAGTTAACTTTTAATCAATTACCAGGTACCAAAAAATAAAACAAATTCAATTCATTCAAATTAATCTTTTTCATAAAGTTTACTATAGGTACTCATCGAAAAATAATTTTCATATGCTTTACATTATTGTATAATTACTTTAATCAATAATAATTGATGATCATAATAATAGGTATCAATTTAACATTGGTATAATAAGATTAATACATATGTGTTTACAAAATTGTGTGTACCTAAGGAAGTTGTATTTTTTCTTTTAGATTGTAACAATAGGTACATCAAAGTTTAGTTTTCATTAAATAGAAATAATATAGCGAATAGCATTATAAAGCATTTTACTAAACAGTATAGGTACAAAGATTTAATACTTACATCATAATCATCAACAGAATCTATGGTAGAAGCTGATTCAAAACATCCAGTTTTCTCGTTTAAAACCATTTCACGAATACGACTATTGGATGACGATGGTTCGCTGTGACGGTAGAATTCTGTCACATTGGTATCATCCATATTCTACAATATATTTAAATTATGTAATGATGTATAAAATGCATTTATTTTAAAAATTTAGTAAACAACATAAACTTTTAGAAGCCGTGTCTTATAAACTGATTATTTTTTCGTGATTTTCGGCCAGATTAAAGAAATACCACAAAACTCTATTTTCTTCTATTTTCTTTATTTTTTTTTTAAGATTTAGTAACAAAATAAATTGAAACGTCGTAAAAAAAAAGAGAGTTTTGTGTTATTTCTTCAATCTGGCCGAAAACCACGAAAAAATAATCAGTAAACAACATATAGTTATTTTTTAATAAAAAATTTCCGACTTACCTCAACATTGGTAATATTTGAATCAAATTCCACGCTAGACATTACACTATTTGTTTGGTTTTCCATAAGTTTTGCTAGCTCACACATGTATTTGCTTCTTTTCGACATAATTATTATTAAATAAGTATTTTTAAACCCGAACAGTCAGAAAAATCAGACACAACTGAATAAAAAGAAATGTTTATCAATACATAGGCACATTTACTTAAAACTAAAGGAAAGTGATTACTATGCTTAAGATGAGTACCTATAATAAATTAATTTTTATCGACCAAGTTCCAGGGTTTATACGCACAAGGCACGTTTTAAACATTAATAGGGCACATTCCCGTAATAAAATTTTATTATCGACCGAAATTGAAGATTCAAACTACTTTTAACATATTAATGAAATAGTAAACGTAAAATGATACCAAGTGGTTTGGACGATTTCTGATTATACTCTTATTTTTAACAAGTATACCGAAATTTATAAGTAGAAAACATCCAATTCACTTGGATGTTTTTAACACAAAAAAATGCACAGTAGTTTTGTTATCGCATGGAGCGTTAAAGTGATCCAACCCACTTAGCCTGTTTTAACCACTCTTTTAACACGATTACTTAGATCGACATACATTTTTTAGAAAAAATTCAACCCACTTGGATTTTTTATTATCAATGAAAATCTCAGTTAACCTAGTTTGTGGGTTAGAACTTTGACGATTATTAAAAGAGTATGTAATGTTTTCACTTGGACGGTTTCTGCATATTATAAAGCAAGAAATTATATGCTCGCTGGTGTAAAGAACTCATTTTTAACAATTTGTGGGTTGGACGTTTTCTGCTTAACTACGTCCACATATTACATTTTTAATACATTATTAAACTATCCATTCAACATTTCATATTTAATGAAGTTTACATCTTTTTCATTTAGGAATCTGAAAAGGCTTGTAACATCTTCAACTTTCCTCTGGTTCACCTCTGGTCTGGGACATTTAGTTGTATTGACAGTGTGAATCTGTTGTACTCCTTGTTTCCAAAATATAACAGTTCAAAGTTGGTTCAAAAGAGAAAATGCGTGGTTATACCAGCAAATTTACTAAGATGTAAATTGGAGCTGGAAGGTCAGATAATAGAACAAGTAATGGAGTTTAAATATCTAGGCATTATATTATCTAACGATGGAAAGCTTGAACTGAAGTGGAAGATCAAGTAAATAGAGCAAATAAAGTTGCAGGTTGACTGAATGAAACAATAAGGATAAATAAAATATCAGGAAAGACATGAAAAGCAGAATATACAAAACAGTCCTGAAACATAACCTGATACAGAGAGGATGAAAAGGATATTAGAAACAGCAGAGATGAAAACACTCGGAAAAATTTATGGTAAGACACTATGGGTAGAGCTACAAGTATAGATATACTACATAGATGGAATGTGGAGAACATCAAGAACTGGATAAGAAATAAAAGAGTAGAATGGAATGATCATATAAGCTGAATAAGAAATGCAGTAGTAAAGACTACAAGAGACAGTTCCCCAATAAGATGATCAGTACTAACACCATGAAAATGATGGAAGGACAATTTACTGTGGGCACATTAAAAAACAGAAAAATTTCTACATTCAAAGATGAAGAAAAAGGAGAACTTAGTAGGAAATGTATTGGTTTTTAAATCTAAGTTATAAATGATTTGCAGATGTGCTACAGTTGGTTATCAGATTCTCTATAGATATACAAAACCATTTGTATATCAAGGCTGTCAGAATTTGTGTAAATATGGTTCCCAAACTTAATTTTTGATAAACCCACATAACTACTTTTTGATTTTACAAATGACCAAAAACTAGAAGTTTCCATATAATAGTTTTTTAATATATGTGAATGATGAACTATTATTTTTATTGCTAGTAGTAGCTTTAAGCTGGACAGTCAAGTTAAGGAAATGATAATACCACCTTCTTGAACAAAGGAAGTATCACTTATACAAATACTTAAAACAAATTCAACTTCAAGTCTTTATCACATATGCTTAACATGTAGTAAGCTATAATAAAATCTCAAATAATAAAAACATTGCCATTATGTACAATAATGATTTATTGTGCTATATTTACTTGTATTTACAAATTTGGTGGTTATTTTCAGTGAAAATAGTGATAAAGGGTGACAGAAATGTTGGAAAAACCTGTCTATTCCACAGACTTCAAGGGAAAAAGTTTGTTGAAGAGTACATTCCTACAGACGAAATCCAAGTGACTTCTATCCAGTGGAACTACAAAGCTACTGATGATATAGTGAAAGTAGAAGTGTGGGATGTTGTAGATAAAGGAAAAAAGAAGAAACATTTTGAAGGGCTGAAATTGGAAAATACCCAGTTGGAAGTAGAAGAGGAACATGCATTAGATGCAGAATTTTTAGATGTCTATAAAGGCACTAATGGGGTAAGTGTTTTGTTGTAATTTAAAATTGTATTATGTGTTAAATGTTGTTACACTCTACTTAAATGTATCGGTACCTATTCACAGTGGTTGTAAAAGTAATATCTTCTATATTTATGACTTTTTAGTTTGTTTCTAAATAATGCATAGTTTTGAACCCTTAAAAGGACATATAGGATAAATATGATTTGGACTTTATAAAATACTTTATATTATTGTCAGTTTTCTTTGTTGCTTCGTCATTTTATTTTCAAAATAAAATAAAAAAGTCTGTATACTTAAGCTATTTAAATTTGCAACAGTTAAGCAACAGTAAAGTTAAAAAAATTCTATAAACATACAAACCCCATACAAAGCCCAGTCATTTCGGCATAAATATACTTAATTTAAATCTCTGAATATATTTTTATCAAAAAATGCCTCACATATTTTACAAATTATCACATTCAATAAAAGTTATGTCATAATGTTTAAGTTATGTTAAAAGGTATTTATGAGATTATTTATAGATGTTTTTAAATGCATATCTTGTGTATTTGTAAATGGTTAAGAAACAAACTAAATTGTTTAACAAAATATTTTCAGTTTATATGGTTAAACTATTTAAACTATTTACATTTATTATTTTGTCATACACAATATTTATCACATTTATCATTACTGAATATTTGATAACATATTTCAAATCAAATTGTAATAAACATATTTTGTTTTAATAAAAATGTTAATTAGAAATTGTAGGCTAAATTATACAGGAGGGATACTAACTAATTGAGCAAAATGAATCAAATTTATCAATGCTTATTACATCTCTCTATTAATTAATTTTGACTATGAATCTGCAATCACTAATAATTAAAATTCAGTCGATTTTAACAATAAAAACAAACAAGTCTCGCTAATTGGCTCTGGCAAAGCCATATTACAGAAAAAAAAATCTCTATTAAAAAATTTTATCTTGAAGAAAAAATGCTTTCGACACCTTAATAATTATATACAAAGGTTGTAGAAGAAATGGATTAAACTGGAACCAGAGAAAACAAAAATAATCTAGACACATTTTAATGGAAAGGCTATATATTTATCTTATATGAAAGATAAGACTGGAAATTAAACAGTTTTGCAGGGAAAACCAAATGATTCAACAAAGGTTCATATTATTGTTGCTGCTGGTAATGAGAATTGATTCGTTAAAGGAGTCTGTTAAGATAAAATCCTAAGATAGAATAAGTTTGCTTAAAGATAGAGCACCCTTTCACTCCATTTAAGAAATAAAGATCAAAGAATCCCTTAAAAAGGGAAAGAAATGGATATTTGTAGGAAAAAACTGTAAAATTATAAAGCTGGAAAAGTTTAGTGTGCCTTTTATGTAACTTCATCTTAAATGTTTGTTTTTTTAGGTGATAATGATGTTAGATTTGACCAAAAATTGGACTTTTGATTATGTCCAAAGAGAGTTGCCAAAAGTTCCAGGCCACATACCAGTGATAATATTATCAAATCATTGTGATATGTCACACCATAGATCAGTTACTGCAGAACATGTAAATTATTATATAGAATCAATTGCTGAGTAAGTATATTGTTCTATATTTATATTGTTCTAATTTATTTATCTTTATTCTAATTTATCGTCTATATTCTAATTTATTAAAACTCACGATAACTAATTACTAATTTATTAATTAACTTTACAAATTTATGTTACGTTCGATACAATTTAAATACTCGGCGCGAATCTTCTTACTTCACTGCCTTCCAAATAAAAATGTTTCGTTTATATACAAAAACTTCCGTTATCTGGAAAGTTCGGTGACCTTCTTTTGCACGGAACCCCATGGAATATACTGGTTTTTTCGGTGAAGGCAATTAACCGCTGAGACTAGTTTTTTTTTTCAACTTCGAGTCGTGGATGACTTACCAAAATTGGGGTCTAGATATTTCTGTAAACAACTTCGAATTTACTGGAACAGAAAACAGAATTAGTCATAATATATTTATAGTTATAAACGCCATAATTATCGTAACAATATCTTTTATTTTTACTGTTTTTTACATCAATGTAATATTATTCATAATTTCTGAAAAATTTTATTCCGAATTTTGATATACAGAGATATCTTGCATATACATAACATATGCAAGATTTGAGATAGGAGGAATCGGTTTTTACTCAAATTCATACCTCTTATTTGACTACTTCTAATTTGCTTTGTAAGTAAAAGGTAGTTTTACTGGTAATAGATGTTTGCGGCTTCGCCATACAGATCATTTTATGGGTCTGTATATGTCTATTACTTGGACCGACAAATTAAATGGTCATGGGAAATTAAATCCGACTAAAACTCTGATTCTAATACTAACCATATTGCACCCTCGATCTCGGTGTGATTTACACTGTATAAATTTTTACTATAGACCTCAGTCTGTCTGCTTTGCTTGTTTTCCTCATTTTCGAAGTATTGTTGATAAGTTATAAGTTGTAAGAAGAAGATAATGTCTATTGAACTTAAACATAAAATAATTGAAAAACATGAGCAAGGTGTATGAGTAACTGACTTGGCGAGGATGTAAGGGCGTACCACATCAGTTATACATATTATACTTAAACGGAAGGTGTGATAAATGGTATAATGCCAGCTGAGGGCGATACAATAATTTCTAAGCTCCGGATTCTCTTCATGAAAAGATAGAGAAACTACTAATGGGGTCGGTTACAGAGAAGCAGCTTCAAGGAGGAATCGTAACATAAAGCACCATATGTGAGAAGGCACGTGCGATTGACGACGATTTGGTGAAGCCACAGTGAAGGAAGTGATTCCACACACTTCCACAAATGATGAATCAGAAGACTTGTTTAAAGCCAGTTGGGGCTTGTCAGACAACTTTAGAAAAATGACCGGCATTCACTCCGTCGTCAGGCATGGTGAGGCAGCGAGTTCGGATGTGAAAGCAGCTAAGGTTTACATGAAAACAATTTCCGAACTAATAGAAGCCAAAGGATACATCCCCCCAGCAAGTCCACAAACCTATGAAAGATAGATTAACTCTACTACTTTGCACCAATGCGAGTGGCGACTGTAAAATCAAACCTTTTCTAGTATACCATTCGGAAAATCCCAGCCCTTAAGTCACATAATGCCGGGTCCAGACCAAGCAGACAAAATGAAAACACAATTCTGAAACAAAAACACGATAAACCGGCGACAAAATTTGTCGTCAAAAGACAAAACAAAATTGAGACAGACTGTCCACACCAGAACAACAAAATATAAAAACAAATTCAGTTGGTGACGTTGTTGTTGTGATTAGTTCTGGTTAACCATGTGGCGTTGTAATCGAGAAAAAAATGAAACTGAAGATTTATTGCTAGCCGCAAGTTTTTTTTTTGCTCTCATCATCATCCCAGGTTGCTAAAAGAAAACCCAAACGTTTTGAATTAGACCAAGCCTAAAAATGCGGGAAAGTTGTTCGATAGACAAATTGTTAGTTCAGCTGCGAGCAGATGATATTGGACTAAGTGGTGAAATTCGATCAAGCTTCAAAATTTTTTAAGAATGTCCACCGAAGATTTTGAGAATCTAATATGCCTTGTTGGTCCTGCAGTTGCAAAAAGACATACTAACTTTAGAAATGCTATGAATGTAACAGAAAGGTTAGCAATCACTTTAAGATTTCCTACTACAGCCTAATGTATCTTTCAAAAGTATCAAAACAATAAATATCTGTAATAATACCTGAAGTATGTAAAGCTTTAATTAACAGTCTTAGTGGTTATGTACAGGTATGCTAAACTTTTTTATTACTATTTTTCTGTTAATGTCCCTTAAAATAAACTCCATATTTATTGGTTAAATGTTTAATACAAAAGAAGTTGACGATAGGTACATACTACATGCAAAATAGTGACGAGTCTACTTGTTTTTACATTCAAAAAGTTCATCATCAATTTCGTTCGTTTTCTTGATCTGAATACTGAGAAAGCTCTGTGTCAATACTAGGTGGCTGTGAAAATAAAGGTTGTGTGTTGGTGTTTGGTGGATTTAAGTAATAATTTTGTGGGTCAGCACTGGGTGGATTTGAGTATGAATGTTGCGTGTTGGGTGGATTTGAGTATAAATGTTCAATGCTGGGTGGATTTGAGTATAAATGTGTGTCAATGCTGGGAGGAGTTGAGTATGAACGTGTGTCAATTCTGGGAGGATTTGAGTATGAATGTTGTGTGTCAGTGCTGGGTGGATTTGAGTACAAATGTTGTGGGTTGGAGTTGGGTGGACTTGAGTGAACATTTGTGTTGAGACTAAGTAACAGAAAAATACACTTAATTTTGATAAAAATTGTATATTCTATTTCTCCTACTGCTTAACTCGTTTTGGCACGCACACGCGTCCACACTGCGCCGACAACTTGTCGTCAAATACACAGACAAAACACAGACTTTTTGATCTTTACCGACCTGAGACGGGACCTAAAAAAGTTTTTAAATTTGCAAACAAAACAAAATTGTTCAGAAATGTCTCAACAAATGTTTTCGATTTGTAGCCACTTTGTCGCGAAACATGAATGTTTTTGTTTTGTCTGTTTGGTCTGGACCCGGCATAGAAATTTTAAAAGAAAAACTGCCAGTTTTGTGGAGTGGATAAAACTGGTGATTGCCCCTTCTGTTGAAAAATATCTACAGCGAAACAACCTACCCATGCAAATCCCTATTTTCCTCGATAAGTCCCTTCTCGCGCACCAAATCTCGAAGATGATTTACTCCAAGAGTTCAAGTTTATAAACATTCTCTGCCTACCAGCCAACACCACTCCTATCTTGCAACCCATGGATTAGCAAGTGATTTCTAATTTTAAGAAGTTGTATATCAATGTGAATCCTAGCTGTGATATTGTATATTGTAATTTAAACTGTTAATGGGGTTATTCCGTGTATTAAATAAATAAATAAATAAATAAATAAATAACATAAATATTCATGAAAATTATGAATGTGTTGCTTGTGTGAGTCCATATCAAATAGGTAAAGAAATAATAATAAGACTTACTCACAATCAATTTAATTTAACAATCAGACGACCGGTTTCGCTTTCTACAATTTGCAAAGCATCTTCAGGTCTAGATACAAAGTTAAACTAATGCTGCAATAAAATAAACCCAATTAGGGTGGTGTCTAATAAAGATAAAATAAACAAATAAGTTAGTTCATACAAATTATAGTAATTATGCCAATATTACATGTCTGTGGTTTTCAAAATGAATAAATTTGAATATATAAAAGGTATTAACAGACAAGGTAAGACCCACAATTGGTATAAAAAAGTAATATTATATTGTAATAAATTAATAAATGAGCAGATAAATAAAACAAAACAAACATTACTTACATGCCGGTACTCTATTAATTGATGGATGGTAGGTCATGGTTGCAAAAATCATGTATTGTTGATTGGAGAACTTTAATGTGCTATTGCAGTTGTTATGACAATAAACGGGAAGTTCTTGAGGAGAACAGATTTGATCCAATGAATTAGAGATAGGTATATTGTGGTTGTTTGTCAAATGAAAGTGATGTCCTTTACTATTGTATTATTTAAATTATTTACACTTATATCAGAGATATATTTTTGGAATGTGTGTTATTTATTGAGTATTTATGTTATGAAGGAGACAGTTTTATGACAATGAATAAGAGTAGCTGTACCGATTGTGTGGTGGTGCAATTATTTTGACTTGTAATTATCAAGTCTATTGGCAAAATTAATCAATTATTGTGCAATTATTTTGACTTGTAATTATCAAGTCTATTGGCAAAATTAATCAATTATTGATAATTGATTGATAAATTTTGATTGACAATAATTGATTAATTTTGCCAATAGACTTGATAATTACAAGTCAAAATAATTGCACAACCACACAATCGGTACAGCTACTCTTATTCATTGTCATAAAACTGTCTCCTTCATAACATAAATACTCAATAAATAACACACATTCCAAAAATATATCTCTGATATAAGTGTAAATAATTTAAATAATACAATAGTAAAGAACATCACTTTCATTTGACAAACAACCACAATATACCTATCTCTAATTCATTGGATCAAATCTGTTCTCCTCAAGAACTTCCCGTTTATTGTCAAAACAACTGCAATAGCACATTAAAGTTCTCCAATCAACAATACATGATTTTTGCAACCATGACCTACCATCCATCAATTAATAGAGTACCGGCATGTAAGTAATGTTTGTTTTGTTTTATTTATCTGCTCATTTATTATTTTATTACAATATAATATTACTACTTTATACCAATTGTGGGTCTTACCTTGTCTGTTAATACCTTTTATATATTCAAATTTATTCATTTTGAAAACCACAGACATGTAATATTGGCATAATTACTATAATTTGTATGAACTAACTTATTTGTTTATTTTATCTTTATTAGACACCACCCTAATTGGGTTTATTTTATTGCAGCATTAGTTTAACTTTGTATCTAGACCTGAAGATGCTTTGCAAATTGTAGAAAGCGAAACCGATCGTCTGGTTGTTAAATTAAATTGATTGTGAGTAAGTCTTATTATTATTTCTTTACCTATTTCTTTACCTAACATAAATATTATTAGTGACCTTTAAACTTACCACTTTTCTTTTAGTACGCGCTCTGCCCAAGTACGCCACTCAGAATCGTCGATGCGTAACGGCTTCGGACTGAAAATCCTCCACAAATTTTTCAACCTACCTTTCCTCCAACTTCAAAGAGAAACCTTACTAAAACAATTGGAAAGAAACGAAATGGAAACGACAGTCACAATTCAAGAATTAGATATGTATTGCAGCTCGGACGAGGCAAATTACGGAAAGTTTTTGGAGAACTTGGTGAAAAAACGAAGGGAAGTTGCTGATTCCAACGCGAATATTCCTCAGCCGCAAGTCAAACCGCCAACCAACGTTGGAGGAACTGACATGAAGAGGTCACAAAGTGCTTCTATAGTTATTGGAGCAGGTAAGATTTTTTAAAGATATACAGCATTCTATGCTAATCTAACTGATTCGCTGGGTAAAGAATACAGACTCATATTATACGGGTTCAGCACACTAATACACTGATGAAATTACAGAAATTTAAAAAACGGTCTTATAAATTTTTATATCCTTTGCAGGTAAACCAATTCCTTATGGCAATACAGCACTGACAGTTCCAAAACAGCCAACGCCTCAGATATCCAAAAGTTCCAGCATGAGTTCCGGTTTTGTCTCTAAATGGGGACCGGAAAATCGTGTTGTGGACGGCATTCCAGATATAAAAGGCTTAGAAATTAGTCCTATAAAGTCAGTTGAAGAATTCTGTCCGGATAACGGACAACTGGGCGGTTTTCTAGATGATGTGCAGATCAATGCGCAGGTTGAGGCTAAAGAAGAGGGAGACTCAGGAACGTAAGTAACAGTTTAAACAACTTAAGTTACTAATTTTTTTTTTGTTTTTGCGCTTTTAAATTCGATTAGATATTTCTGACAAAAAATTAGAGTATTAAACAGTGGAACCCGTTCAACAGTCGATTCATACATCTCGTCGCTAATTGTCGATGAAAGTACAGATGTATGTGGTCGATATACAGATTGAACGAAATAAATTCGGAACATAGGAATATAATGTATTTCGGCTCAATTCTGCTGTAAGTGGTTGGCCAACAAAAGATTGTCAAATAATTATATTATAAAAAATCCCATACTTCAGCGGGCTGCTGGATTCTGAACTCATAAAAATTGAAAGCTACACATAAATCTACGATTTTATTAGGCTGTCAAACCAGTTATAGTCCAGGAAATATAGCATTTCACCTCGCAATTTTTTCGTGCGGCGTGGATTGACTTGAAATTTAACAGAAGGTAGGTAATAGCCTAAGGATCAAAATCTATATCGAACCAAAGTGCGCCAAAGCCTAGGGGGTGGTTGCCACCCCATCTCCGGGGTGAAAATTTTTTTTACGTTTTAACTACAGGTTTCGATTAGAAAAGTGATTCTAAACAAAAAATGTGCTATACATTTTTTTATAAAATGATATTTTTCAAGTTATTCGCGATTGAAAGTAACAACTTTTAGACGAAAAAATCCACGTTTTTAATCGATTTTTCGCGAATAACTCGAAAATGATGCATTTTATCAAAAAAATTGTAGAGAACAAATTTGTAGCTTTTAAAAAGACAACTACAATTACAAATACAATATCAAGGTTCAGCGGTTTTCTTCAAATGCCAAATTTGAAAGATTCAAAGTCAAATATCGGGAAAATGATGCATTTTTGGAAGAAAACTCACAAAACCTTTTTTAAAGAGCATAAATAGACCTATCATAAAAAAATAAGGTCAATACCTCATTTTTTACGAAAAAATCGAGGAAAACAACACCCTAACCACCCCCATAATTAAAATCGATCTTTACCCTTCTGCAATTCCCTTTGTAGATGTATTGTTAATACGTCCAAGAAGTTTGACCCATTTAAAATGCTTAGTTTTAGAAAAAGTACAGCTTAAAGCGAGAAACGATTTACAATTTCATATTTTTTACCCTTCTTTTTTAAATATGCCCGAAAATACTGAATATATGAAAAAAATAAAAATTACCAAATTGTAGCTTTTTTAATGACTAAAATTATCCTTTATTTAGATTTGTTGTACAATGAATATTTGGCGAGATATAGCCGTTTAAAGCATCGATTTACGATCAAGCACCATGTTTTTCGAGCCCTTTAAACTCACCCCATTTAAAAACCAAGGGTTCCAAAAAGATTTAATTCACAGATCCTTGTAGCTATTAAAAACCTCTACAAATCGTTTTTGAAGAAACATCTAAAGTTAAAAATTAAAGGAAATACGTTAAAAAAAACCAGTTAATTTTTTTCCGGAAAATTCCATTAGTATAGTACAGTACATTTCGGAGCATAATAATCTACAAAACCGGTATATTAGCTAGTGGGGCGTTATACATTCGAAATTTTAAGCGTTCTTATTTTGAAATCCCATACAACAGAATAAAACATCTGCTCATATATCTATGGCTTGGCAATGAAAATATCAGAGCAACAGATTGGGGATGGTTTTCCAAAGATGGATTGTTATTACCCGTACGCATGAACAAACAACCTGCACCTGATAAATTTTTGAAAATTATTTTTTGCCAATGCAAAAAAGGATGCGGCGTTTCATATGGGTGCAGAAAAGTTGGTTTATACTGTAACTCTACTTGTTCTGGGTGCTCAGGTGAAGGGTGCAATAACAGTCCACCAATAATTAAGGAAGATGATGATGACATAGATCACGATGAAGATGTAATTGATGACGAATAAAATTAATATTATAATTGTTTTACCTATAAATGTAAATATTTTCAACTATTTATCTAAATGTATAAGAATATATGGTGCCTTTTTATGTTGATAATTTTTTTTGTATTTAATTCTACTTTTTTCAATTTATATCTTATAAATTAGTTTATAAAAACTGCAATGTTGTAAAGGGTGATTTTCAAAAGTTGAAAAGTTGCAAAATTTTGGCAAAAAATTGTTTTTACCTATAGCACTCATAACAATTGATTTTTAAGGGTTGAAAATGTATGAATTTGTATTTTAAAGTATAAAAAACTCACTATTTAACTAATCCAAACCAAATTTTACTCATCTTAGGATTTGTAATATTATTTTACAATTTTTGAAAATTAGGGGTAGTTTTCACCCCTAAGAACAATCAGGGTTCATCGGCATGACATAAACTATAAAGCAGAGGGTGAGTTGAGCTTAATTCCAAATTTTTATGCAAGTCGTTCCAAGGTGAAATCATTTTCTTCGCATTACTAATTTTTTATATTAATCTCTAATGAGGGTCGCTTTTTAAGGGTTGAAATATGATGGAACTCTATTCAAAAGTATAAAATAATCATTATTTAATTAATTCAAACCAAATCTTACCCATATTCAGATTTAATATGTTATTTTATAATTTTTGACAATTAGGGTAGTTTTCACCCCTAAAACCCTTCAGCGCACTTCGGTTCGATATAGATTTTGATCCTTGGGCTATTACCTACCTTCTGCTTAAATTTCAACTGGATACATGCAGGACGAAAAAATTGCGAGGTTTTAACTTTTGTCGAGCTTCAATTCCTGAACTATTATCACCTCCTTAGACAAACCCGTCTTACGCAAACAACTTTGTTGCGAGACAGATAGTTGAACGATATTTTATACAATGTCTATACCCAGGTATGGATTTATTTTTGTCCAAGTTTTATATTGGTCCACTATTTTAAATGCAGTTCAAACAGACATGTATTAAATTGTATGTTCCGTTTTAATTTGGTTCAATCTGTATGGTGCATCTCATAATCCGCACCCTAAAAGATGATTAACCAGAAAAACCTTATTTAATAGCTGGAAAACAACTGGAGAACACCAATAATATGACTGTAAACCATTTTATTTAGCAAACATTCTATCTTTCTTTTTATAAAAAAAAAAGAAATTTTTTTAATATTTTTTTCAGTTGTCGCTCCATATATGGTAAAGGTAGGACAAAATTTGAAAATATTTTATCCAAATATGGTACACCTCACTTGTCTTCTACATGGTGTAAATAGAGCAGTAGCAGTTCTTAAAAGTGAATTTAATTTAGTCAATAAATTGACAGTGGCGAAGCTTGATGAAAAATTTTGGGTAGACAATTTTAAAGGACTAATACTTATTTCAGGAATGAGGAAAATAAAACAGAATATTCTTTAAATATTTTATTTTCATAAACAAGTAAACACAACAAAAACATGGACACATTTTTTAAAACAAAAAATAAACTTAACTATAATGTTTATTCGCTAAACAATAAATATTAACAAAAAGAAACATCAAACGATTTCTACCTGGCGAAATCGAAATCAAATTTTGACCACTGTGCTTTCTAAAACTTGCAAAGCAAACAGCTTGATAAATAACTCAACAAGGGAATCTAAGATTGCATTCCACATGCCGTTCATCATGGTCAAAATTCGTAGTGAATTCAATTTCTGGTAATCTAAACGGAGTAAAGAAATAAAATATAAAGACCTAGTGTCTAGTACCGTCTTTATATAATAAATATTAAATTTTTTTATATATTAAGTCAATTTTTCTATTTTTATTATTAGCAAAATAGTCAGTTCTTTCATTTCTGGAGTAATTGAGTTCACCATATCCTTTTCAATGCTTAAAGTGGATAATAAGGAAAGTCTTGTAGTAGTCATTGAATTTCGTAATGGTCAAAAATAATTTTAGTATTTTATAGCCTTCGGAAAATAATCATGAATGTGTTGCTTGTGTGAGTCCATTTCAAATAGGTAAAGAAATAATAAATAAGACTTACTCACAATCAATTTAATTTAACTATTCAGACGACCGGTTTCGCTTTCTACAATATGCAAAGCATCTTCAGGTCTCGATACAAAGTTAAATAAATGCTGAAATGATAAAAACCCATATTAGGGTGTTGTCTAATAAAGATAAACAAATTAGATGTTATTAAGTACAATAATTATACCAATATTACATGTCTGTGGTTTTTTTTTTCAAAATGAATAAAATGAATAAAAAGGTATAAAAAGTATAAAAACTTTAAACAGACAAGGTAAGACCCACAAATTATTATAAAATAGTCTCTTAGATTGTAATAAATTAATAAATAAGCAAATAAATAAACATTGCTTACATGCCGGTACTCTATTAATTGATGGATGGTAGAACATGGTTGAAACTATCATGTATTGTTGAATGGATATTACTGTCAAACAACTACAATAGCAGACTTAAGTTCTCCATTTAACAATACATGATAGTTTCAACCATGTTCTACCATCCATCAATTAATAGAGTACCGGCATGTACTCTAGTAATGTTTATTTATTTGCTCATTTATTAATTTATTACAATCTAATAGACTATTTTATAATAATTTGTGGGTCTTACCTTGTCTGTTTAAACTTTTTATACTTTTTATAACTTTTTATTCATTTTGAAAAAAACCACAGACATGTAATATTGGCATAATTATTGTACTTTATAACATCTAATTTTTTTATCTTTATTAGACAACACCCTAATATGGGTTTTTATCATTTCAGCATTTATTTAACTTTGTATCGAGACCTGAAGATGCTTTGCATATTGTAGAAAGCGAAACCGGTCGTCTGAATAGTTAAATTAAATTGATTGTGAGTAAGTCTTATTTATTATTTCTTGACCTATTCAGAAAATACTTCTGTTAACTCGTTGTCAAAAATATATGAAAACAGTTGGTAAGGTTCTAAATGTTTTTGTTCATGTGAATAAATTACAATCAACTCGTTTTCTAATTTTCTTATATCAAAAGTTTCAGGAGTTTTCAGTTTATCTAGAACAACTAAGAGATTTTTTGGAAATTGTTTATTATAATTTACACGAAACTGTTTTTGTTTAGTAAGTTGACGAAAGAGAGTAAATGGGTGTCTTCGAATCTTTGTTGTAATTGCGTACAGATTGTATCCAGTATTTCAAAACCTACTGTTTTACAAATTTTTACTGTAACATCAAGAGTTGTTTGAAGTATATTGGTGCACTCATTTACGCATATTTCAATTGTACTGACATTTCTCAGATTTTTAATATTTTGTGTCATTTTATGTATTTCTTCTACACATAAGCCTACATCGACAGAAATTTTTGACTGTAAAATCAAATAGGGGTGGTCTGTGAAAATAAAAATTTAGGATTTAATAAAATATTTTTAATACCAATTGCTAAGTTGGTACTCTCTGGGTCAAATTTGTATGATTCTATCATTATTTCTGTAACATCCAGTAATTTTTGATAATATTTGTGAATTGTATAAACCGATCTTGAATGAAAATTCGAGCTAGTTTCAACAGCACGTTACAAAGCAAACGCCATTATACGGATTTCTTCTATTCTTAATGGAGATCTACTAAAAAATGTATGAAAAGCGGATAAGTTAGAAATAAAAAGTTTTACATCCTTAATTTTTCTTTAATCATAGAGTCGAACTAAATTTAATTGGTGTGCATAACAATGAATAAAAATGGCACGAGTACAGGTTTCTTTAATTTTAGTTTGAACTCCACCTTTGGCGACCGACATTACACTATCGCCATCATATATGTTTGGCATATTAATTTATAATTTTTTATTTCGTTGGAATGTAAAACGTGAATAATTTTTTCTGCAAGACCATTTGCTGTTGTATCACTAGACACGTCATAAAATCCCATAAATTTATTGTCTTTTTTGTACACATACCTTAATATTACACTAAACTGGGATTTGCAGGATACATCAGTTAATTCATCGTGCTGAACGGATATAAAGTCCATCGGCAACATTGCCTCGTACAAGGTAATTCTTCGATCCCCTCCGAGACCTAGACAGAAAACGAGAAAACCATTTAGTAGCACATAATAACGCATTTTATATGCATGTTCGTCCGTTGATTTTTGTTTTCATTACGCATACCCGGTTCATATCTTATAACATAATATGGATGGTTATACATAAAAACTGGTGGATAAAAACTGGATAAAAATACACTGATCTTATAAAAGGTGGTGCGTTTGTATCGGTTTTTAATAATTTGAACAATTTTTTGTGGTTGAATTAAAAAAAAAAAGATTGAGAATAGCGGGAAGAACGTGATTCTGTAACAGATCGAGGTATACTCTACTATTCAAGTTGCCCTCAATAAAAAATGGACCTATTATGTGGTCTCATAAAATGCCAGTCCAGACGTTAATTTTTTGAGGACTTTGAGTTTGGTAAACAACACTCCTGTGCTGGTTTTTTTCCGCGCCCAATACCTCGTAATGAAAGGATTGTGTCTCCCTTCTAACAAAACAGAAGATTTATCAGTGAATAAAATATTTTTAATAAAATTTGGTTCATCATTAGCCTTCGTTATTAGAGTTTCACAAAACTGCATTCTTTGAAAGTAGTTATGTAGATAAAGCGGCTGTGTTTTCGAATATTTAAAATTCTTGTAACCGTGGTTTTTACATACCTTCGTTACAGTAACATTGCTAACACCTAACTCTCTGGGGACGATTGAAGCAACTAGTTTACGCAGTGAATATTAATAACAATTAATTGATAGAATTATACATTGTTGTAATACTATTAGAAACGATCCCCAGAGTATCCGTAATTCAATACGTCAGTTCGGCAACAAAAATGTGTACAGGCTGCAGGGTTCCATTTCGAAAATCTATTTTGAATTATTTTTATTTTGTTGCTATTATTGTATCTTTTCCAGTTCTAATTTATGGGTTTATCATAACTATGTACATATTTTTAGTTTTTTTTTTAATTTTTCTTCATTATTGTTAGTAGTTACTGTTTTTTGTTGTGCAGTGACTCAGTTTATCATTTCAATTAAAATGTTTGAAATTTATAACATTTGTTTAAATTAATTACCTTATAATTTGATACTTCATTATGGTTGTTCTATTTTTGGTAAGATTTGATCGTTCACTAAAAATTTAATAAAAGTGCGACAACATTGTCGCATATGTCGTTTTCATTGGCTATTTATGTAGTTTGAAAATCACTTATTGCATTTTAAAAAATATATATACAGGGTGTAATATTTAATACGAATCCCTAAATTAATTTTTCCAAAGCCAGTCCTGGAATTTTTTAGTTTAGGTAATACCAGTCGAATGCTTGATAGTAGTGTACTGTATCATGCAAAAATTAAAAAAATCAAATGAGCCGTATAAACACGACAGCAAAATGAAATAAATGGTCAATTACACAAATCACCCTGTTAATTAATAAAGAAGAGGAGTTGACATTTTTAGTGGCCACATGATATGTTCCCTGAGGGACTCTAGATATGGTAGAAGTATGTAAAGTTCCTCATGACTCATCCTGTATATGCTTTTATGTGAGTTGTCTTATTACAAATACAGTGTCTATGCAGGATCTTCCGGATCTGAATTCTTGTTGTTCATGTGATACAGTTTCTAGTTTATTGATTTTGTTGGTTAGGAATTTTGTGGTAATCTTAAGTTATTACTTAAATTAGGTTCAGTAGATTCAAACCTCTACTACCTCTGGGGTCTTCTTTATCTTCTTACCTGAACATTGGTATCATTATGCTGTTTCTTCGTGCGTCTGGTATCTTGCAGTGCAATATTAGTTTTTGTATAAGTTTTGTCATCTTAAGGGTTATACTTTCTTCTTCGTGTTTTAGAAGCTCGTTGTTATTCCGTCTGATTCTGGTGACTTTCTATTTTTGAGTGAATCTATGGCTATCTCGACTTCCTGAAAACTGATTTTTATTGCATGTCTTAATTAAGGTACAAGATTGTGTTAATTATTGTGTTAGCAACGCTTCTACTTGAACCTTGTCGAATTTACCTCGATTGTTACACAAATTTCTGTATCTTGATATCGTCTTTTTGCCTCAACTTTTTCTGGTGACACTTCTTGAGCGTGACATTTCTTGCAATTTTTGAGGCAATAATACCTCTAAAAATTGTTAACACTATTATGAACTGACTGTGCGCAAGGAATTATTAGCGACATGTCAACGGAGGTTCGTGGAAAGTCGACGGTGCGCAGTGTTGCCATTTATATCTAATTTAAAACTTAACGTAGTGTATGAACAACAGCTTTTTGTATTACAATTTGCTTATTTGAAATATTTGTTTTCAGCGACACCGATACGGGAAATCCTCTAGTGTCCGAATTGCAGGAAGATTTCGAAGAAGATCTAGCATTTTCAAAACCTATGAAGCACGTCAAGAAAGTCGAATCTCCCTTCACGGCGCCATCAAAACCTCTCATCAAATCAGACGAAAGCAAAGAGAATGAAGTAGACAAAAGCATTCCAGAGGATTATGATATGAAACAGACCACAGACGAGTTTGACTCCACGATTAACTCAGAAATATCCGAATTAACTTCAGACGCGTACGATGCTTGGATGGGGGTTGATACTAAATGGAGGAGATCACCGGAAGGTAAGAAAATAATTTTTTTATCAATTCAACATTTGACTTTTAATTCTTATTTGGTACTTTTGAGTACAGGTTTCCCTTATCAGTATCAAATCTATTTTATTCTAAACTTGTGCAGTTTGGTCTCACTCATTTCAAATTTGTCAAGCTTAGCTCTTTTTTTTCAGTTTGTATGTGTTTTTTTTTTCTCGATTTCATACCAATATATTATCTCATCTGTCATCATTTAATCTTATTACTTAATCAGCCGATCTTCATTTTAGTTTAGTTGTTTGATGTTGTTCTGTATTTGAGTTCTTCAGCGTATTTTCTCATTTTTAATGGTATTGGCTGAATGTTTTATACATGAACTGGTTATCTGGTTATTCCATTTTTTTTTATTTTGTGTCCATTCATCATTTATACACTGTACGTTACGTTTTCTTCTAATGTCGTCTATTCTTCTTCCTGTAATTCTTCTTCCTTCTTCTTTCTTCCTTCTTCTTCCTTGAACAATTTTAAATAAACAAATACGTTACAATTTTTGTTCCAATATCCGAGAAAATCATGCTCATTCAATTGGATTTATTTCCAGCAAAAACCAACATAATCCAAATATACGCACTCACAGCAGACAAATCAGACCAAGTAATATAGACTTTTTATTACGATTTAAGGAATAAGGAATCCTAAGTTAAAAACCAATGAAGTAACGCTAGTTATGGGTGACTTTAATGCCAAAATCGTAAGGTAGTTTTGGTGAAGTACTAGGTTAATGGTAGGGATGTGTAGTTCATCATCGAAATAGTTCAAATGAACGATTCTTTCAACTGAACTAATTGAACTAGTTCATTAATTTTCATAGAACTAGTTCACTGCGAACGATTTGCATTATAAATTGTGTCTCAACTTCTAAAGAAGAAAATAATGAATGAGATCATATATTTATTATTTTGTGAATGGGATGAACTGAGTAGTTTAAAAAGTTTCATTCTTAAATGTCTTGATAAATTGTCCAATGAACCACTTGCAATACTAATATCGCATGAACGTAATTACATTTTGCAGATTTTGACTTTTATCGTTTTTCTCGAAATGGTCCCATAAAAAAACTTCTATTTCGTCTGTTACTCATCTTTTGGGATTGATTAAGAAAATAAATTATTATAAAGAAAAACTAACTAATCATGTAATAATTTAAAACATTTAAACCTAAACATACGATCGAAAGAAATGGTTCCGAATCCGAACTAGTTGTACGCCGTACGGTAGTGACAGACTGACTGAAAACAGAAGAAAAACGGGCGGCCGGTGCCGAGCTTGTGACGAGACATCTGGCAACCAGTTATGTTAGGGTTGGATTTCGATTTCGGTCCTACAAATAGTTCTTTCGCGTACTAGTTCACTGAACTAGTTCATTTTTGTGAAATAGTTCTCTTGAACTAGTTCGTCTTAAAGAACTAATAAGCACAACTCTAGTTCATGGGTCTGGGTGAGCGAAATGAGGGAGGAGAACGCCTACTCACATTTGCTACGGAAGAAGAGTTGGTAATCACCAATACACTCTTCAAATTACCATACAGAAGGTGTACACATGGCGCTCACCCGGTGACACGCCAGAAAATCTCATAAGAAACCAGATTGACTATATTTTAATAAATAAAAGATTTAAAAACTTGATAACATCAGTGAAAACCTACCCTGGTACATATATTAAGTCAGACCATAACCCACTTGTCGCTAAGTTTCGTCTGAAATTTAAAAAAATCCACAAACCTAATCCTATAAGATACGATCTCAAACAACTAAGAGATTATGACATAAAGCAAGAAGTACGGGAATATCTGAAGAACAACATATCTAAGTCAGAAGTAGTTAATGATGTTGACACAGAAATAAACCACTTAGGAAACATTGGGAAGGAAATATTAGACCAATACCTGCGACCGAAAAAGACAGAAAAGAAAAAACCATGGATGACCGACGGTATATTACAGATGATGGACAGAAGAAGAGAATCCAAGCGGAAAAACTACGTTGCGTATCAATTTCTAGACAAAGAGATAAAAAAAGCTGTCAGAGAAGCTAAAAATAGAAATCTGGAAGAACAGTGTGAAGAAATCGAGATATTGGAACGTAAACACGATTCCTTCAACCTCCACAAAAAGATCAAAGAAGCAGCAGTCATCTATAAATCAAAAAGGCCGGGACACTTAACAGACCCTCAAGGAAATCCAATAGTTGATATTGAAGAAACAAAAACAACATGGATGTACTATGTGACAACAACATTTGAAGACGATACCGGACCACCTATTCTCGAAACGGAAGTAGAAGCTGCTATAAACAACATTAAGGAGGGAAAAGCTGCGGAACCAGACGAGTTCTACTCAGAATTTTTGTAAATTATGAATAAAGACGAAGTAAAAAGACTTACCTTGATCTTCAACAATATATACCAAAGTCGAAAAATACCCCAACAGTGGCTAAGATCAGCTTTTATAACAATCCCTAAAAACCCAATGCCAAAAAATGTGAAGATTATTGAATAATAAGCCTTATGAGCCATCTCCTGAAAACTTTTTTAAAAATTATACATAAAAGAATATATAAAAAGTGTGAAGAATACATGACACACACAATTCGGCTTCAGGGATGCATTGGGTACTCGAGAGGCACTTTTTGCAATTGTCAAAGATGTAGAGACTTGTGAATTGTGATATATATGTGTGTTTTGTTGTTACCAGAAAACGTTCGATAAATAAAACATGACGAACTGATGAAAATATTAAATTCAATTGGTCTAGACAGCGGAGATCGCCGTATAATAAATAATATCTATTACGAACAAACTGCAGCTGTTAGAGTTGGGGATCAGTTAACAGACGACATAAAGATAAAAAGAGGTGTGCGACAGGGATGTTATATTGTCCCCATTATTGTTCAATACATATTCAGAGCACATTATGAACCTAGCGCTAACGGACATAGACCAGTCTAGTAATCTTTTACAATACCATGCGTATTTACATATTCAATGGTTCAATTTGGTTTATTGTTCGTACTTTTAGTGTCCATGCTTCACTTTATATAACACTTCAAACATACGCACTTTCTCATTATTCGTCTTAGTTCTATGTTGAAATATTCTTGGATGTGGTTGCAGACAAAAATTTGATTTACTTTCAATTTTACATTATAAAGTAGTTCATGTGAGCTAATGTAAGTCATAAAAACTTTGCTTAAAACAAATTTCAGGTGGTGAAGACAATTCGGTAGTTAGCCAAACGTTAGATTATAGCAACAGTACAGTCTACGATGATAGTAATAGTATGAATTCTTCCAATGTTCACATGGAACTGCTCAGTTCAAAGACCAGCTATCCGTCAAATCCCAGTGGACATAGCGATGGAGATGATGCAATGTCGTCTGGATCGTTAAGGAAAGAGAAAAAAGAAAAAGATAAATCGAAGGTAAAAGTGTTATTGTAATTGAAGACACGAGTGGATGAAGGTGCTATGTAACATTTTTCTAAAAACGGTTTTTTTTGTATGGATGAAGGTATTATGTACCCGTTTATCACGTGGCCACATTAGAATTCTAAGATTCGTAACAGAAGTCTAGGTTTTTTAAAGGATAAAGGAGTTATGTTACATTATTTTCCAGTGAATAATGGAAGAAGGTGTTACAGGCACAAAATACCTTCATCCACATTCATGTAATATTTTGTATACCTTCGTCATATGAATGATGGTGTTAAGTGACACACATAACCCCTTCATCCACTCACTGGCCATTTTGTTTTACTTGGTGAGTTGGTATTGCGCGCACGTGTTCTGTGTCATTATTACAGTTTTTTGCAGTAATATCATAATATTAATGCTAGTTAACATTTATAATGAGTTCCAGAGGTAAACAAATGTTAAAACTAGTGCAGGAACAAATAAACTGTGAACAAAATTTGCCAAATGATGAAAATGAATTCACAGCAAGTTCTAACCTCAACATTGAAATTTCAAATGTAACAGGTAAGCGCAATCCTGTTGTTATGAAATAATTAAGTTTTATTATATTTTGGGCAATAGGTATTTAGATCATAATATTTATATAAAAGTGTAAATGAGCTGGTTGAAATACATAACCCAACTATCATCTGTTATAAATATTTACACTTGATTGCTCCGGGGATTCCCCTATCTTTTCAAAAGTAATTTTTAAACAATAATAATTAGGAAGAATTAAAATATAAGTATAAGTAAATAGCTGTTTTTATTTTCAGATTTGGAGGGGACTCAACCATTCTTGTCAGACAGCAGTGGTGATGCTGAATACTTTCCGAGTAATGAACGAAGCAGTTCTTCAGGAACTAGTGTCACGGAGGACGAAGAAAGAGCGGACCACAGTCATGTAAAAAACCTTGTTGGAGGTACATTCATTTCTGGAGACAAAGAAGGAAGCGGGATTATTCAAAAGCCTATAATTAATCCTTCTAACGGGTCTAACGAGGTTGACCAAGAAAATGAAAAACAAAGAAAACAAAAGATTTTTTCAACGACAGCAAAAGTTTCCAAAAAACGAAAACGAGATCCAAATACGTGGAAGAAACGCAAAGCAGCTTTAGATAGAGCAAAAGGTGAAGAATATTTGTCTTACAAAAACATTCCCGTTCCAAGAAAGGAGCCAGAAAAAGGTATTCTTTGTAGACAAGGCTGTAGATTTTCTTGTAGCACTAAATTTTCAGCAGATGACAGGAAGGCATTTTTGAATGAATTTCATAGACTTGATATTAATGCAAAAAATGCTTTACTATTTAAATCAATCATTAAAAAACCAGTGTTGAGGGAAAGAAAAGATGCTGTTAAACATAAAACTGCGTCATATACGTATAACGTTACAAAAAATGGAATTACCGTAAAGGTGTGCAAAGAAGCGTTATGCGCTCTATACCAAATATTCAGAAAAAAACTTGATGTTATAAAGAATTGTATAAATAGTGGTGTAGCAGCACCTCCTCCAGATCGCAGAGGTAAGCACTCCAATAGACCACACAAAATAGGCCAAGATGTTAGGGATTTTGTGATAGAGCACATAAATAAATTTCCTGTAGAAGAGTCGCACTATTCCAGAAATAGAAATCCTCATAAAAAATATCTTTCTCCCCTACTAAATGTGAGCAAAATGTATGAGTTCTATCTTGAGGAATGTAATCTGGCACAACTTCCTGGAAAATTTAGAATTAAAAAATGTTCATATTCCAACATTTTTTCGCGAGAGTTTAATTTATCATTTGGGTATCCGAAAAGTGATACGTGTAGTATCTGTGATGGAGGTGAATCTAACGATGGACATAAAGAAAAACTACACAGCATCAACTAAAGCGGTCAAAGTTGACAAGGAAAAAGCAAAAGATTCAGACAACTTGGTCTATATTACAATCGATATGCAACAAACAATGCCACTGCCAAAAATAACAACGTCCAAAGCATTTTACCTTAGGCAAATGTGGTTTTATAATTTTGGGGTGCATATTACTACAAAAGGCCTAGACAAAGCATGTTTTTGTACCTGGACCGAAGATCTTGCAAACAGAGGAAGTGCAGAAATATGCAGTTCTCTACTCAGATATATTGAAGTCGACGAAAGCATCACCAAAAAGGATTATCTGATCATCTGGTCCGATTCATGTGCGGGCCAGAACAAGAACTTCCACATGATTTGCCTTTATCAGTATCTTATTTTGAAGGGATACTTCCGTTGTATTGACCACAAGTTTCCTGAGGTTGGCCATACTTACTTAGATTGTGACAGAGACTTCGGAAGAATAGAGAAGGTTTTACGAAAACACGACACGGTATATGTACCAGATACGTACCGGGAAATAATTTCAAAGGCTAGCCAAAAAATCAAGTCATCGACATGGCTCAACACTTTAGAAGGATTGCTGATCTACCGCAAAAACTTAATCTTACTAACAGAAAAAAGGATGAACTAAATGAAACAGTCAGATTTAGAGACGGTATTAAATGGATAAGAGTGGAAGAGTATGGTTCCTATTTGTATAAAGAATCATATGACGAAACAGTTCCTTTTAGAAAAGTAAATATTCTTCAAAATAAGAATAGAACAGCAGCGCCAGAGAATATTGAAATCGAAAGAATTCGGGAGAAATATGGAACTATCTCTGAAGAAAAAAGAAAAAATCTCCAAGAACAGCTTAAGTTTGTAAAACCAGAATATCGATATTTCTATGAACCAATCTTAGAAAAAAAATAATGTATTACGTTATATTACTGTTATTACCTTATATTAAGCAATAACATCTTGTTAGCTGATTAGATAAGTTTTTCTTTAATACATGATTCTTCCATAAAACAGTAGTTGTTTTAATTTCTTTAGAATTATACAGTGGATGAAGGTGTTATGTACTGTTTTTTTCAAATTTTGGTAAGACACATTTTTTTTGTTGATATTTTTTTCCGTGAATAACATATTCTATATACTAGTAACGACATAGAAAAGTTTTTACCTAATAAAAGTGAATGTGAGAAAAGTTTACAATGAAAAACTTTAACCTTAATTTTCTCAATCTAAATTTTGTAACATAGCACCTTCATCCACTCGTGTCTTCAATTTATATTCTAATTCTTTTCTAACACATTTTACCACTGAAAGTTAATTTCCTTAACCAATTTAGCAAATGTTGCTCGTTTAAAATTTGGCAAATTGTCATCGTTGTTAATTTCGGTTAGAATTTTATTGATCTTAATGATCTTAATCAATAAATAATAATTGGCGTTTTTTTTTTTTCAGACTGAAAGAAAACACAAAAAGAAAAAAGACAAGGATAAAGAAAAGCACAAAGATCCCGATAAGAAAAACAAAAGGCGCTCTCGCGACGAAGCTTCCCATTCGCACAGAGACGAACTAGAAGAATTCCTCAACGGTACTACGAGTCCACCCCTGGAAGCCGACTACGAAGCCATCTAGCATATGTCAATCTGGATGAAATTCAGATACGCAATGGATGTTTAAAAAGATGTTTAATCAATTGCTCTGTTATAAAGTATTGCATTTTTAAAGCTTTCGGATAATGTCGTCTTAAAAAGAAAATTGCAAGAGGTTGCATTAAGGTCTAAAGTGATTTTTCTTTTAAAAGATTTATTTGCAATGAGGCCAATATTAACCAGAACATAAAATGGTAAAACTTTGTTTTGCTGTTCGTTCTTTTAAATATTCCCATGTACATGTCGATTTAATTGTGTTTGGACTAGATCTCCGCAATATATAAGAGCTGGAACGCTTTTTTAATACTTTTCTACTGTTCAAATACTACTGTGTATATTGAAAATCTTAAAGTAATAAAATGCCGATTTCAGACTGGTGTTAAGTTCAAAACAGAAAGCAAAAATTCGGGGAGCTTTTCTATCGCAAAAAATCACTTATGACCTTAATGTAACCGATCTTGCATACAGCAGATCCGCTGGATATTTGCTCAAATATCATCGTTCATGTTTATACATTGAAATAGAAATATAAATCAAATATTGGTCAAAAATTAAATAATAATCGAAAGTTTAACAATTCTTTTTGGAATTTAAACATATGTAAATCAGTTGTAGAAAAACGCACTGTCACATACAGAACCCAAGTGAAATTCCCAGTGAATAAATCAATCATCGTCCTTGTCACATTGACATCTTTGATCTATTCTATTTTAAAGTAATAAACGAAATATCGTGGTTTAGTATATGCGGAAAGAAACGGAACATAGTATAAAAATAATGTCATACCTGAGCAAAGATCCAACGGGCTGACTGTATATACTATCTAACAAAATTATACTTGTAAATGACTATTTTAATGTGTATTATTGTAACATTTTATTTTATACTGTGTTTTAAAGTTGTATTCATTATAGAAAAAAGTTTTACGAGATAATCTGATATTGTCATGTTTTCGAAATTATTTGCTTTATTTTTTTATATATGACGGATTCATTTTTTAAGCTTCACCATGCTAGGAGCGTATCAGGACTTTATTTGCAACATAAAAAGACTATTTTTTTATTTTTTTGATCTCAAGTAATCTTTTGTTGGATAAATGTCTCCCCAGATTGTTTCCAATTCTTCTTTTGGTGCCTTATTTAATTAATTAATGTTTGCGATTACTGCGACAAATTATTTCTCTATTTTCTGCTGTTCTTATTAGGTTTTTAGATTAGAAGATAAGATCCAAGAGTTTTTTCATCCCGACTCCACGTTTCCTTTAATTTTGCCTGTTATTCCGAATTGGGGTGGAAATATTTCTGATTCCTTAATGGGTGTCCAAGGTGTGATGTTTTGCGGACTTTGATACAGTTGAATAGCTGTCTTTCTTTGCTTAAACGATAGAGAACCTGTCACTTTGTTATAATGATCTAGGAAATTTTCAATATTCAAAAGTCCACATCCCAAATGCATCTATCTTCAGTCTTATCACTGTTTATTTTTCAAGTTAAATTATATTCTAGCAATTTTTAGTGTCGATAAGCCTTTGAAGTCCTATGTCTGAATCTGCTTTCAAATTTATTTCAGAGTATAAATTGAATAATATAGGCAACATACCTCGTCGTACTCCTCTATTAATAGGTATTTTTTTGACAGTACAGGATTTAAATTAACATTTATTGTCTAATCCCATACCCTTTCTTCTTCTTCAGGTGCAAATCCACTAATGGATGTTAGCGATCACATTTTCCATTAATTCTCTATTTCTTGCAATATATATCAGATATTGTATGTCGTTAATCCCTGTCTATTGCCTTATGTTTCCGAGCCAGGACATTTTCTTGCGTCCCATTCCTCTCTTGCCTTCAATTTTACCCTCGATTATAAGTTGGAGGAACTGGTATTTTTCATTTCGCATGATGTGACCTAGATACGTTGTTTTCCTTTTTCTTATGGTTTCGAAAAGTTGGCGTTCTTGGTTTATTCTTTTAAGGACCATACCCTTTAGTCATTGTAAAAGTTTCCCGTGATTTACTTTATCAAAACCTTTTTTCCAATCAACAAAACATATCACACCCCTAATAATAAAATGGCGCAACTCAAAAAATACGATGTTGCAGAAAACGCAAAACACGTTTGTGTAATTACGGTTATCTCTCTTGTATCGTTGTTAGTGCCGAACCTATAATTTTTTTAATATGAAAGTATTATTAACAAATGTGTCAATTTATGATTAAAAGTAAAGCTACAGCATAAGGACTGTTTCGGAATCCTGCTGTTTATTATTTCAATTTAAACTTTAAACAGACTAAATATTTGATAATATAATTCGTAGAAGTTCTACCATATTTATAGGATTTTGAGCAATAAAATGATACAACTATGAATATCACTGTTTGTGACTAAAATAAAAAAATACATACCTTAAGTTTATGTAATAAACTGACACAATCCTGAATATTTCAACGATTGACAATGATTTCCTTTCGCTGCTGAAGTAACACTAAAACCGGTCAGTTTATGACTGACCCGCCAAAATGGAACAGTGCGGTACCAAACTGACCCAAGCAGAAATCTACCCACAGGGGTAGATTTCTTTCAGGGTATAATAGAGGACACTATGTTCGGTCGTTTTATGTCTAAAACTCAAAATTTAAGAATTTTGAGTTGTGCCACTTTATTATTAAAGGTGCGATTTATAAACATATTTTCTTGGACCGTGGCATTTTCCCAACAATATTTGTAAGTCTTATATTATTTGTAGACTTATTAGTTTAATATCATTGCAATCGCGCGGATTGACTTTTTTAGGTAGTGAAATTTCCATTTTTAGTTTTTTTTTGCATTACATTTTATGTAATGAAACCATTATACACATTATATAATTTTCCTTTACAAATTAATTGTTTAATATCATTCAAAAATATATATCCAAAATTGTGATATTCTATTATAGTTTTGCTAATTTATTATGCTTAAAAGCATAACTTTAAGTATTGGAAACTCTTTGAAAAAGGAAACAAATTGCTTTTAATATTTGGACTATTAAGACTGCTAGTTTTTATTGTAAACAAGAGAATGATTATATAATTCAGGAAAGAATCGATCTGTATGTTTCATTTTGCAAAAGTTGTGTAAGAACATAAAATGACAGTTGGGGCAAACAGTAAAAGATTTGTAGAACCAAATGCAGTCGAAGCTGGTTATACATTATCTCAAACGCTTGTCGAAACAACAACGACAACAATTTTTTTTCAAGAAATCCATTAGTAAACAATGTTACAACCGAAAATAGTTAAACAGAATAATAATGTCTAAAATAAATTTAAATTACAGGGTGACCCTAATTTTATGCTCGGTAGTGTATAAAAATGTATTATGAAGTTCATATAAAGTAAAATGAAGTAAGCTAAACTATTATCATGTGAGTGCGTTTATATAGTAGTGCATTTGTTTATTTCAGTAACTTCTCGAAATATGAAATGAAGAAGGCACTAACTATTACAGTTATATTAAGTTAATAGCTTTGTTAGAAGAAGACTCAGATTGTGAAAATGCTAACTCATTTAATGTGATTTATTTGCCGCCGAGAGTAGATTAGAAAGTTTCTGGTGTAGAAGACATTGATGATAATATTATTTGGGAAGAATAAATAAAATCGGATATTGCAGGTAAATATGAAATACAAGTGATTGGGAATTCTGACGATTCTGATTATGATATTCCTCTGAACCACAGATAAAACGTCCAAAAAAAAACCAAGCAAAAATAGTAAATCCAAATTTGTCTCAAGTTGTAACAACAGATACTCATTCGTGCTCAGTAGTAATTCAACATCAGTCTGATTGATATTTAGACAATATAAGAGCCAACCATGGAGACAAGTCATATATTGAAGTTTTTTCACTCTTTTTTGATAAAAAAGTAATTAAGAGTTAAATCTATATTTTACAAATATTTATGCATCCCAGAATAACCGTCACGATTTTGAAATGAATAACAGATTTAAAAAATATATTAGCATATGTATATTATCTGGTTTAAACTCTGCTTCAAGTTGATATGTATTGATTTCTCTTATGATTGCACATTATAAGAGAAAGCATAAAACGACCGATTTATATTTATAATTTATAATAGTGAAGAAACCACTACATCAGTGTCAAACTTAGTACATGGACGTTAATCTAAATTTGCTTTACCAGATGACACCAGATTCGACAATATTGGCCACATTACAAAAAGAGACGATAGTGCAAAATGTAGGATGTGCAAAAGTAATAATATTTATTTATTTAAAATGTGTAGACTGCATCTCCATTCCAAATGTTTCGAAAATGTTCACCTTAAAATTGAATTTACATTTAATATACAATATATTCCTTTAATTACTATTTATAACTGGGAATAAGCCACATTAAAGATAAAAATACATTTATTGACGTTTCAATTTCCAATTCGGAAATCGTTCTCAAAATACAAATAGTAAATTAAACAAATTTTGTTTTTTGTTACATAGTGAAAAAATTCTTCTGATAATTTAATTTTATCTGACTCATTTATATTGACAATTCAGACATACATTATGCATTTTAAAGTAGACGACTTTAAAATGATATTGCCAATATTGTTGAGTTGCGCTCCTGGGACGACTTTACTTATAAGATAGTTCATTCGATTACATGAAATCAACTTTAACTTGAGAATATCCGTCAGAAAAAAATCATAGCATGTAATTCGTCTTTAAAAAGACAAACACATGACATGATGACAGTAAAATTCTCCTGTTAGTGATTCCATAGTAAATTATGAGGGAAAAACCAGGAAAAAAACCTCATAATACTATCCCGACATTGTAAGTATTTGTTCGTGAATTTAGTTTACCTTCAACAAACATCAAAATTCTGATTTTATGTTACGTTATTTAAAAAACATAAATGATGTATCCTCTATATGTTACTGACTTACTAATACTGGTATTTTCTTATTAATAACTTCCTCTTTCAATATTGGTAACCAGATCCTACTACATTCTGCCGAGGAATTTGCGACACAATTGGCCTCATTTAGCATAATTAGAGCCGCTTCTTTGATTTTTCTTTTTTTACCATCCGTTTCTTTTAGGACTATATTTGAATTATTCCATTGAACTCTATGTTCATTATCCCATGCGTGTTTACATATTTGAGATCTATCAAATTCTCTATTTTTAATATAAGATTGATGTTCACTTATTCTAACATTTAATGGCCTTGATGATTCACCTAAATAAAACTGATCGCATTCACAAGGTATTTTATAAATGCAATTCTTTGTCCTTTCTTGTTCATTGTTAGGTTTGGTTTTGGACAAAATAGATCTCAACGTGTTTGTTGTTTTGAATGTTGTTGAAATGTTGAATTTATTTCCTATCCTTTTAAGTTTTTCTGATAATCCTTTTATGTACGGTATTGTTATTTTCCTCATATTATTCCTTGTGTATGCTGTAGGATCTCGTTCTAAGTTGTTCTGTTCTATTCGATCGATTGTTGAAAATTCCTTATTTATAAACGATAAAGGATAATCATTTTTTAATAAAATAGATGTTAACAAATGTTTCTCCTCCAAGAACGAATTTTCGTTAGAACAAGTAATTTTGGCTCTATCGTATAAGGATTTAATTATTCCCTTTTTTACATTAATATTGTGATTTGATTTGAAATTTAAATATCTATTGGTGTGTGTTGGTTTTCTATACACCTGAGTCTCATATCCAGTATCGTTCTTAGAGATCAAAACATCCAGGAAAGGTAGCGTGTTATTATATTCCTTTTCCATGGTAAATGTTATTGTCTCTTCTTTATCGTTTATATCGTTTAGGAATGTGTCCAACAACTCTGATCCATGAGGCCATATTGAGAATACATCATCTACATACCTAAAATATATATATATACAATATACATATATACAAATATAGTCCTAAAAGAAACGGATGGTAAAAAAAGAAAAATCAAAGAAGCGGCTCTAATTATGTTAAATGAGGCCAATTGTGTCGCAAATTCCTCGGCAGAATGTAGTAGGATCTGGTTACCAATATTGAAAGAGGAAGTTATTAATAAGAAAATACCAGTATTAGTAAGTCAGTAACATATAGAGGATACATCATTTATGTTTTTTAAATAACGTAACATAAAATCAGAATTTTGATGTTTGTTGAAGGTAAACTAAATTCACGAACAAATACTTACAATGTCGGGATAGTATTATGAGGTTTTTTTTCCTGGTTTTTCCCTCATAATTTACTATGGAATCACTAACAGGAGAATTTTACTGTCATCATGTCATGTGTTTGTCTTTTTAAAGACGAATTACATGCTATGATTTTTTCTGACGGATATTCTCAAGTTAAAGTTGATTTCATGTAATCGAATGAACTATCTTATAAGTAAAGTCGTCCCAGGAGCGCAACTCAACAATATTGGCAATATCATTTTAAAGTCGTCTACTTTAAAATGCATAATGTATGTCTGAATTGTCAATATAAATGAGTCAGATAAAATTAAATTAGCAGAAGAATTTTTTCACTATGTAACAAAAAACAAAATTTGTTTAATTTACTATTTGTATTTTGAGAACGATTTCCGAATTGGAAATTGAAACGTCAATAAATGTATTTTTATCTTTAATGTGGCTTATTCCCAGTTATAAATAGTAATTAATTTACAATGCCACAAGAAAATAGCTTCAGAACAATATATATTCCTTTATTAAACATTGGACTGTTTTCTTTGAAAAAAGAGAAAAAAAAATCTTTTTGGTTGTAAATTAGTCTTAATTTATGTGTTTTTAATCCAATCTAATAAATTAATTGTCAAATTTCTCTTTGTATATTGAGCGGCGTTAATGGGTTCTTCTTCTTCTTTGAGTGCCTCTCCTATCGGAGATTGGATATCATTATGTCGATTCTAATTTTATTAACTGCTGTTTTGAATAATTCGTTAGTGGTACAGCCAAACCACTGTCTTAAATTTCTCATCCAGGACATTCTTCTACGGCCTGGATTTCTGCGTCCTTGGATTTTTCGTTGCATTATATTTTGTAGGAATGTGTACTTTTGTCCTCTCATCAGGTGGTCTAAGTATTGAAGTTTTCTCTTTTTTATATTCATAATAACAATAACTTCTGAATATATATTGGGTTAATACTATATAAAGTATAAACTTGAGTCAAATTTACTTTACTTGCCTCATAACTATTTTAAGTTAATAATAAAGTCTATTTAATAAATATATTCCCAAGAAATAGAACACACTACGCCTATGCACATATATAATGTGGAAGGAGGAATAAACTAAAATATCTTATTTCTCTCATTACCATTCTTTCTAAGAACGGAAATATATATAGACCAGCAAAATATTGATAAGTTTACCGATGTTTCAAACTATTCAATGAACTTGTCTTACTATACACTCGTGAATCGCACCAATTTACATTGTTAAGAGGGCAAATTTTATGTGATTATCTTACTTTTTTACTTATTTACATGGGCAAAACATACTGAATAACAATTTGTAGATTAGTCACCCTTAATTGAAAATTGTCCGACTATAGGCAATCATATTTAATTTTTCTACAGTTTATGGTCTAGAAAATGTATGTATACGGTTTACGGAAATTATTTAAAATAAAACTTAAAACCACTGAGTCCTTCGTAAGTGGAGAAATCAGGAAAACTAGCTTAAAGTACTAAAAAAGATTTTATAATAAAATTTTTACTATGCTCTTAACGCTGCGTGATCAATACGCAAATACTCTTCTAGGCTCCACTTCTTGAGCAGTGAAATTGATGATTGGCGAAGGCTCTGGCTTATTCCAATCTATTAAGGATTCCAACAGAATTTATCACAAAGAGCAAGAACTTTGTCGGCAACTTACACGTCCAACAAATCTTTCACTGTTTGTCGCGTTGTACATTCGTAGTTAATTGTATCTAAATCCTTGTTAATAAGGCTGGAAATGTTTAATGACAATTATATTTAGTTGGAGATTAATTTTAATTTAGGTAAATAGATGAGAAACCGTGCTATTGGTTCTTGACTGTTAATATGTTAGCTTTGGCCAGCTACGTGCATACGATGTAAAGATTAGCGATAGGTGCTTCTTACGTGTTACCATTCGATGAAATGTTGGATATGTGCTTATAAAGATAGAATATATATGTGGGATTTACTGAAGATGTATGTAGTTGGTACTACTTACTTACTCTTAGTTAGTTATTTGTCAAAGTTAACTATTTATGTTTTTATATTTTATACATATGATGTGTCGTTAAAATATAATCGTGAACAGTTTTACTTTTTGTTTATTTTTTAACCCTTTAAGGCGCAAAACTTTTTTTTGCGTTGTCCAAAGCTTATATTCATTCTTCTTCTTCTTAGTCGTTAACCTGATGCAGGTATCGTGATATCATGAAGCTGTTGAGTAATTTTTCCAATGTTCCTCCACGTTTTTCTATCTTCTGCCAATCTAGCACATTCTGACAATGGAGCGCCAATAGTAGCAACAATATGGTCCGTGTATCGTGTAGGAGATCTACCTCTACTTCTTTTGCCTTCTACTTTTCCCTGGATGGTAAGTTTTTTAAGACCATTTCTTCGAAGCACATGTCCAAAATAGCTTATTATCTGTTCTGTTATTTGTGTTCTTAGTCTTTTCTTTATGTTTAGCTGGACCAGTATGGATTCATTTGTTCTTCGGGCCACCCATGGTATTCTCAGCATTCGTCTCCAGCAGTACATCTCAAATACATCTATGTTCTTTTTGTCTTTCTCAGTAAGGGTCCAGCATTCCGATGCATAAGTAAAAACTGGAAAAACTAGACTTCTTACTAGTCTCATTTTTGTATCGGTAGTAATTTCATAGCTTTTCCAAATTTTTGTTAATTTTGCCA